GAGACTTAAGGCTTTTAGATAACTATACTGTAATGGTTATGCTAAAACTAATATCAATTTTATAAAGTCTTTTTATAGTTGTTGTCACATATAAGAACTGCACAAAAGGGCTTGCCATTTTGGCCTATATAATTATCACTTGGTTGAGTAAATGAAAGGATGAGGGAATATGATGAACCAGTGTTGCAAACAGGAAGGGTTTTAACCTGGGAGTCCGCACCTATACTTGACAGAGTGCCTCAGCAGTGACCGTGGGAACAGGGGAGCTGTTGAAGCTACTTAGAGATTATGATCTGCTTTGCAAGAATGAGCATGCACAGAGAGAGGACCAATCAAAACAAAAGTGATGCCTAGGATACACAGACATTCAGAGCCGTCCAAATGTCAGTCAAAGCAAATACCAGTGTCTAAAGTAGCAGTCATCCTGAAAAACCACGAAGTAAGAACAGTCCATAAAGTAGCACGTAGAGAAGTCTGGAGGCAAGAGTTCATGCAGAAATGAAGATCTAGTATATTCCACTATAAGATGCTCTGGGAGTTTTGCCATAGAGTGACAACAAGAGCTACATATTATTGTACTGGAGAAGTTTTAGGGAGTGCTTAGAAAATCTGTAGGGTTGTTTTTGGCTATATAAATAATTACTGAGAATACACAAGGCAATCCTGTTTTTTTGTTTTGTTTTGTTTTTCAGTGCTGGGTATTTAGCCCAGGACCTCATGCTCTATTGCTGAACTACATTCCCAAGCCTCTTGTAATATTTTAGTAAGAAATTTGTAAAATAAATAAATAGTATAATGTTTTCCCAAAGGTATTCCCCTTGTTTATTGTAATCAATCTAATTTGTTATAGCTTCTCCTAATATATTTTTAAAAACATACAGTGCAGCTATATCTCTCCTCTTTTAACTCCCTATACTTTTTATACTGCTTAACACTCTTAAACTCATTAATATTATCTGAAAAGAGAGAGAAGGCTATAATGGCACTAGGAGCTTGCTTCAAAGAAAGCAAGGTTTTGGGGTTAGGGGAAATGCAATTGTTCCTAGATAATGGATGCATTTAAAGAAAATCATTGATAATCACATAGCACAAACTTGTACTGGACACAGTCAGTCTGCTTACATGATCTCTATAATATACAACTACATGAGAAGCAGAGAAAGGAAAAAGGAGGAAGTGAGGCTGGTGACATGCCTGGTGAACCTGGTCATCACTTTTCTGCTTACAATCCTTCAAACAGTTTCCTTCCCGCTTTGCAGTGCTACAGTTTTACACGTTAGACAAGTGCTGTTACCAGAACCATCAAGTGGTCTATTATCTCTCTGGGCTTTCTGTGTGTGTGTATGTGGTGTGTGTGTGTGTGTGTGTGTGCATGTGCGTGCACACGCGTGCATGCCAGTCCTAGGCCTGGAACTCAGGGTCTGGGCACTGTCCCTTAGCTTTTTTACCCAAGGCTTGTGTTCAACCACTTGGGCTACAGCTCCACTCCTGGCTTTTTGGTGGTTAATTGGATGAAGAGTCTCTTTTCTTCCTGGACTATCTTCAAACCAAGATCCTAGCCTTCTGTGTAGCTACGATTACAGGTGAGCCACCAGTGCCCAGCAAGGCTTTTCATTTATTAACACAATCTCTACAAGACTATACAATCTGTTCTAATTTTTCAGCCTCCTCCTGTATCATTCTCTCCTTGGTTTTCAAGGCCCTATCACTCTGGCCAACCTTTTACATCCTCGAGGATTTTGCATACACAGTTTTATTGCTTTGTCATTCTTTATCTCCTATCCTCATCCATTGCTTCAGCTTAAAGACCACTTCCTCAGGGAAGTCTTATCTGGTTCCTAAGCCCAACAATCTCTCAATATAAGCTTTTATTGTCTTTCACTGGGACCTACCACAATTACATGTTTATTTGTATGAATAGATAGGAAATGACTTTGTAGAGGCAGGCACTTGGTCTATTTTGTCCATCCCTAAATTGCTAGCAACCAGCCTAGAGCCTGTCACAAATAGAAACAGGTTTTGAATGAGTGAATGAATGACAGAAAGCTATAGGACCTTGGGCAAGTATCTATCAATAGAGATTTCTTCATTTGTTAAATTGGGATAATGGTAACTACCAATCTCAGTCACTGTATGGACAGTGTACGGAATATGCTTAGCACAGTGCTTGGCATATAAGGGTTAGGAAATATTATTATCATAATTAAAAATAAATCATGAAAGTGTGTGTGATGGCATATATCTGTAATCCCAGCACTAGGGAGACAAAGGCAGAAGAATCTTTGAGACTAGTGTGAACTACACAGTGAGTTCCAGATTAGCCTGAGATACACAGCAAGACCACATCTCAAAAAAACAAAAACAAAAAAACACACCCTAAAAGAACTTAGAAAAAAACCTGGAACCCAGTGGCTCATGCCTGCCATCTAGGAGGCTAAGATTCAGATTATCACAATTAGTGGCAAGTTGGGCAGAAAAGTTCAATAGATCCATCTCCAAAATAGCCAGTAAAAAGTAGAGTCAGCTGGGCACCAGTGGCTCGTACCTGTAATCCTAGCTATCCTGGAGGTTAAGATCTGAGGATTGCTATTCTGAGCCAGCCCGAACAAATCCAATGGACATTTATCTCCAATTAATAAAAAAACAGCCCATACTGGGGGCATGGCTCAAGTTGTAGAGCACAAGTCCCTACAGTATTGACATTAAAAAAAAAAGTAGTGCCAGGGATGTGGCTCAACTGGTAGAGCTCCAGCCAAGCAAGCAAGCCAAGCAAGCGTGAGACACTGAGTTCAAACCCCCACAGTACTGGTAAAATAAACAAGTCTACAAGCAATCCATTTGGAAAACAGGTTGCCATTTTTAATAAAGTAAAAAGTAAGTTGTACACGTACTTAGTAGTGCCACTTTTGGGTATATACCAAGTGAAATGAAAATTTACATTCACACACAAAAAATCTACTCATGAATGTTTATAGCAGTTTATTCAAATTAACAAGTGGAAACAATGGGCCAGATGTTTTAAAACCAGGTAATGGGTCAAACGAACTGTGGGATCAGTAGAATATTGCTCAGCAAGAAGAAACAAACTACTGATACAGATAACTTGTGGATGAAATACAAACTGAATTATGCTAAATGAGAGAAGAGATTTGAAAAGTGACATATTGTATGGCTCATGTAAGTAGAATTTGTATAGCGTTCTAGAAAAGTCAAAACTGAAGACAAAAATTAGGTTAGTGTCAGGCACTGATGGCTCATGCCTGTAATCCCAGCTAACTCAGGAGGCAGAGATCTGAGGATTGAGGTTCAAAGCCAGCCTGGGCAGGAAAAGTCCATGAGATTCTTATCTCCAATAAACAACCAGAAAACTGGAAGTGGCACTGTGGCTCAAGTGGTAGAGCACTGGCCTTGAGCTGAAGAGCTGAGGGACAGCACCCAGGCCCAGAATTCCCCATGACTGACCAAAAAAAAAGAAAAAAAAATCAGGTTAGTGGTTGCCAAAGGTATAATAGGGCATGGAAGCATTGGGTGGGGATTATAAAAGTCCTACATGTTCATTGTAGACATTTGGGAACATACAGAAAATAAATTTCTTACTATAATTTTAATAGTCTCAAAACACAGACTCATTATCAAATTTGGGTGCAGCTGTACATTTTTTGCTTTTTGAATTACCTTGTGATGTTTTACCATGTCATTACATTTTTGATATCTATGTATTTTTTTCCTGTTCTGGGAACTGAACCCAGGATATCAGGCATGCTAGGCAAGTGCTCTAACAGTGGGCTATACCACCAGTCCCCTGACTTAATATTTAAGTACTCCTTTGTTAGTAATTACATTGTTTACACAATTAGTTTGTCAAATTAAAAACAACAGGAAAGTCCAATCTCCATCACCACACAAGATAAGTTTTAAAAAGGCAAATTATATTGCTTCAATCCTTATTATAAATAATTGCTTGATTTAAAAAATACAATTTTATTGTCATTAAGGTGTTGTAGATAGGGGTTACTATTTCATAAGCCAGGTAATGAGTACATTTCTTTTCTTTTTCTGGACAATGTCATCCCTTCACAATTTTGACACAATTATTAAAAAACAAAACAAAACAAAAAACAACCTCCTAGTCCAGGGACTCTTCCGTTCAGGGGTTTCCCAATGTTGAACTGGAAAACCAAGCCTTCCATTGGTTTCAACTCCCTTATTGTCTAAGTGTCTAGAGTCAAAGTGGTTCCACAGGGTGATCTGGCTTCTTTCTCTCTGTGGTGTATATTAGACACCCTAATATTTCCTGTATTACGAGCTTCAAATTTCTGTATTCAGGGCAGAGTAAGCAAGACAGACGAGTAATTTGTTCCACATCACACAGGGCTTAGCAGAATGTAGACAGGGATTTAGACCCTGATGTGATTCAGTCTCGGAAAGCAAATACTGTGTATACTCTTTTTTTGTGTGTGTTTTATCCTCTTCAACAGTGAGCTTCGGTTCCTCCACACACACACACACACCCCAAAAAAGTAAAAAGAAAAATCCCCATTCTAGTGACTTGGCACACAGGGAACAAATTTATCTCTACTAAGTGTCCTTGACGATACTGCCACTTACCAGCTGGGGTCATTTCACCCTCGATGCCAAGGGACACTACTGCCACTGACCATCGGGGGCCCGCGGTGCGCCCCGAGTTGCGGAGAGCGACAGCTTCAAGGCCCACGGGGGTGAGAAGTCCTTGGGTCGTCACCCTGGTGGGGCTGCCATTGACTGGGGCGTCCCCGGCGGCCACGCTCTCTCCCACGTCCGGGCCCGTCCGTCAGTGGGGCACGACGTGAAGAGGATCCCCAGCATTTCAAGGACGGACTGAGGACAAGGAAGGCCCGCGCGCTCCAAAGGGCGTCCCGGGAGACTCCAGGGGCGTGACGGGAGCTTCTCTCCGGAGGCAAGTCCTCCGCCATCCCAGAATGCCCCGTTTCCCGGAAGTGCCGCCCCCCGGAAGTGCCGGGCTGGCTGACAGAGCAAGGGCTGGAGATAGCGCTGCAGCTGGAGGGTCGCAATTGAGGGTCCAGGGTGACATTTGGAGGCTCAAGGCAGGTTGGGACGAGGCCATCTGGGAACCCAGTGGCAGGATGATGGAGGAGGAGGAGCTGGAGTTCGTGGAGGAGCTAGAAGCCGTGCTGCAGCTCACGCCTGAGGTGCAGCTGGCCATCGAGCAGGTGAGCATCTCCCATCTCCCCCCCCCCCCCCCGAGGGCCTGAGCAAGTTACGGGGACTGAGGAGGCCGTTCCGGGCCTTGGGACTTGCAGTCTGCCAGGCATGTGTGTTGGGGGAGGCGGGTATCTTTGAGGAGAAAGCGGGGGCCCAGGCGCAGAAGGGAGGTGGGGGTGGGAAGAGGGTCTTAGCCAAGCCAGGAGAAGCATCCTTTCTAGGCTACCTCGATTGTCTTTGGAAGCTGGTGCGTCGTGGCGGGCTTGGGCAGAGGAGCTGTGTGTTCCGTGAGGGTGACCCTGGAAGAAGGGTCCCCCAAGAGTGGCAAATTCAGAGTCTAGGGGATAGTAGGGTTTCATGCATTTACCAGGTGAGGCTTATTGCTCCCATTCCTCTTGTGAGTCGCTCGGAATTAGCCATTGCTGAAGCGAGCGAGTGGTAGGCCGAGGGACACAGGAAAATGATCCCTTTGTCATATTTAACAGTTGAAAATTTCCTGCAGTTTGAGTTATGTTGGAGAGTATTTCCAAGAGTGCTCTCTTCTCTGCAGGAACTCTTTAGTTGACTAAATTCTCTCTGCAAGTTTATTAAGAACATTTAAGGGTAATTAGAAGTAATGATTTAACCTCTTTGTACAGGATTTTGCTCCTGAAAAAAAGAGAAAAACTCTTAAAGGAATTGTCCTGGGTTGTGATTTCAGGGGGTTGGGGGTGGGGGAAACGGTTATGACTAATGACCACTGGGAACTTTTCCTAAGTAAATATTACCTCTATTAATATTTAGCATATATTGACCATTAATACCATGTACTCTTCCACTGTACTAAGTAGTGTATTCTACTACTTTACTTAGTAATGTATTTATATTGTCCAATTTATTTACTTTTGGATATGAGTTTGCAGCAGAGTTTGACTCTATTATATGAACTACATACTAGACTGATGGGCAAAACTTAGTCCACACAGCTTCACCACCCACTTCCTTTTGCAGCAAAAAAGACATACATTTCAGTTATGCTTTGGACCTAAGTGGGCTCTAATGGAAGAAACAATTCAGAAAAATTCAGAAAAGTTAATTTTTTTTCTGTTTTAAAGAATTTTGCTGTTTTTTAAGAGTTCTAGAGATTTACCTGGTAAGTAGACATCTTTACTTTTTTTTTTTTTTTTGGCCAGTCCTGGGGCTTGAACTCAGGGCTTGTGCACTGTCTTTTAGCTTCTTTTGCTCAAGGCTAGTGCTCTATCACTTGAGCCACAGTGCCACTTTCAGCTTTTTCTGTTTATGTGGTACTGAGGAATCGAATCCAGGGCTTCATGCATGCTAGGTAAGCACTCTACCTACCAGTAAGCTACATTCCCAGCCCACATCATGATGATGTAGAACTTTTTTGTACTTTAGTGGTCTAATTGAATAAAGTTCTGTGAACAATTACACAATAGCAAACTTATAAAGATTAGTGATGTGTAAGGAGTTAAGAGGGTTCATATAATGGGATCACATTTACCCAGAGACAAGCTTCAAAGCCATTGCATAAAGTGAAAAGCCCTACAAACATGTTAATCTTAAAATTCCTTAAATTGCTTATAAAGTACAGTGTATTACTATCTCTTATTTTTTTCCTCTCCTTTAAAAAGACTTTTTTCCTCTTCAAGTAATAGAGGTTAAATCCAGGGCATTGCACATGATAATCTAGGCCTCTCCTTCTGAGCTACATCCCCAGTCCCATAAACATCTCTTTGATAAGTCTAGTATTGTCAGTTTTTTCCTCCAGCATTAAGGCCAATCACTCTTTTTTTTTTTTTTTTGGTCACTTATGGTGCCTGAACTTTGGGCCTGAGCACTGTCCCTGAGCTCTTCATCTTAAGGCTAGCGCTCTACCAATTAAGCCACAGCACCACTTCCAGCTTTTTCTGCTTATGTGGTACTGAGGAATCAAACCCAGGGCCTCATGCATGCAAGGCAAGCACTCTACCACTGAGCCACCTTCCCAGCCCCCAATCACTCTTTTTATAGTTACCAGTGGATAAAGTAGTTGGCTTCAGTGAAGGGCTTTTTATACGAAAACATATGAAAACCTAGGATTAACACTTAGGGACAGTAAGAAGATGCCCTAGCACCATTTTTTTTCATATATAGTTGCAGTGTATTTTGAACTTATTTATCTTCAATCTTTCTTTTTTCCTTCTTCTCTTCCCATGAATATAAATGTCTTTTAGGTCTAGTTTCCACATATGAATGAAAACCAGCTGAAGGAAATGAACTATTGGGCAAAACATATGTTTTATTTTTATTTATTTATTTATTTAGGTTGGTAATGGGGCTTGAACTCTGAGCTTGGGCACTGTCCCTGTGCTCTTCAGCTCAAGGCAAGCACTCTACCACTTGAGCCACAGCGCCACTTCTGGTTTTCTAGTGGTTTACTAGAGATAAGAGTCTCACGGACTTTCCTGCCCGGGCTGGCTTTGAACCGAGATCCTCAGATCTCAGCCTCCTGAGGAGCTAGAATTATAGGCGTGAGCCACCAGCGCCTGGCTCCTCGATGTCCTTTTTTAACATTGTCTGAAGCATAAAATTTGCTTTAATGCAGGCTGGATATGTAGCTCAGTGGTAGAACACTTGTGTGGCATGCACAAGATTACTACCATTTTCCCCCCATACATAGATCATGTATTTTCTTTTTTTTTTAATTGTGAAAATATGGTACAGAGGTTACAATTACATGGGCAAGGTAATGAGTACATTTCTTATCAAGCATTGTTGCCTCCTCCTTTGTTTCCCCTTCCCTTCCCATCTTCCCCCTCCCTCCCTCCCCATCAAAGTTGTAAAGTTTGTTTTTCGACATAAGGACTAGTACATCTCATTGTTGCAATGGGTCCACCTGTATCCCTATTTAAATGGTTTGTTTTTGCCCTTCCCCTCCACAAATTATACCAACATCAAATACAATGAAAGCAGGGGTTATACCATGGGGGAGGGACATACAGACAACAAGGAAATCATCTTTTTTTTTTTTTGGTTGGTTATGGCCTGAACTCTGGGCCTGGGTGCTATCCTTTGGCTCTTCAGCTCAAGGCTAGCACTGTACCACTTCAGCCTCAATGCCACTTCCGGTTTTTTCTGTTATGTGGTGCTGAGGAAGCGAACCCAGGGCCTCATGCATGCAAGGCAAGCGCTCTACCACTGAGCCACCTTCCCAGCCCAAGAAATCATCTTATAAATATGTTAGAAACAATTGCAAGGAAGAAAAACCATTTGAATACTTATCTTGGGGTTCATTTCACCAACTTCAACTTATCTGACCTTTTCTGCTTGTTTCAGACATATACTACTTATTGCAAATAAGGGAAACCATGGGACCTATGTTTCTTTGGGCCTGGCTTACTTCACTTAATATAATTTTTTCCTAGTCTTTCCATTTCCTAACAAATGGGGCAATGTCATTCTTTCTGATAGAGGCATAGAATTCCA